AATCGGTAATAAGTCAATTTTCATAAGTCAGTATGGATTAACTTATAAAAAACGACTTATTACCGGTTTGGTACCGGTATAAGCACTTTTTTTTTTTACCCAAACACTACAAAATGACTTATCTCCGGTACCAAACTGAAATAAGTCAATAAGTCAGTTTGAAAAGCTTTCCCAAACACCCCCTAAGTTATCTTAAAATTTACTAATATTTTTACACAAACAAATTACATCATAAAAACGAGAATTTATTCTCTTCGGTATAACATATATCTCGATATATTTTTTTCTTTGGTTTAATCACTTTTTACGTGAAATGCTATTTATGTAATATTTATTATGAATATTCATGTACGTTCAGGTACGTACAAGAACTCGACACCATAACTTTGTAACTCGACATTATCTTTTTCAACACTTTCTTCGACGTCGTAAGTACACAACCTGACACCACAATCTTCATCATCGTAACCCAATACCCATCAAGACTGATTGATAACCCATCGGACCGAGTGAAAACCTATCGAGAGAGATCAAGAATCTATCGAGACTGGTCGAGAATTTATTTATTGACTTGGTGTGTGTTTATGTACGTAAACCATCACCTACCACCTTCATTTCCCATCAAAGACCTATGAATTGATACATTATTTGTTTGTGTATGTAAAATCATAGTCTATCACTTTCAGCGTTTATCGAGACAGATGTGGAACCCATCGGGACAAATTGAGACCAATAGAGACTGCTCGAGAATCCATTGGGACCAACCGAGACTAATTAAGAACTCATCCATTGACTTGGTGTGTGGTCGTGTATGTAAAATCATAACCTACCACTTTCATTTTCAGCGAGGCCAATTGAGAACTTATCGACTGATTAATTGTGCGTTTGTTTGTGTAAAACATTAACTTACCACTTTCAGTTTTTATCTAGATGGATCGGAAACCTATTGAGACTAATCGGGAACTCATCAAAATCAATCGAGAACCAATAAAAAAGAAGAAAAAACATAAAAGACAAACTTGAATACGTAGAGTTCAAACTGTAATATTTTCATGATGAATATTATGGCAAAAATTAATATTTATAATAAATATCATATTAATATGAATATTACAGAGTTGTTTTCAACACATGATCAGTATGTATATTCACGATGAATGTTATAGTTAAAATGTATATTCATAATGAATATCATACTTATGTATGAATACCTAAAAATTGTATACACATGAACATATATAAATACTCATGATGAATAGTATGTGTATTTATGATGATTGTTATAGTGAAAACGTGTATTTATGATGAATATTATACTGATATATGAATATTTATTAGTTGTTCTATATACATGAACCTACATGAACAAGGTTCAAAATAGCGTAAGACGTAACGTGGCGGCAAAGTCAAGCCTCAAGCCTTGGAAGCCACGATGAGATCACGACCTTTTCAAGGCGTGACTTATGACGGCAATTCGCTATATCATATATAAAGCTATATACTTAAACATATGATTTCTACTATTACTCAATAAATCAATGATACTAAACAATTTAAATTAAGTTATATATTAAAAACTAACAAATAAAACATTAAAAAGACAAGTAAAATCAAATATTATGTTATAAAAACTGCACATTCCATCGTGGCATGCCTCAGACATAATGTAGCGTGAGACAAAAGTCTTGAGCCATGGCGTGCCATTACGGCTGTTGCGGTGAGCTTTTTCGAACATTATACATGAATATTCATAATGAATATTCTAATGAAAATGTATATTAATCATGAATGTCATTCTCATGTATGAATACTAAAGATTCGTTGAATACACGTGAAAATACATAATTATTCATGATGAATGTTATAGTGATGTATATTCATAATAAATATCGTATTGATGTATGAATAGTAAAGAGGAGTTTTATACAAGTGGATATACATTAATATTCATGATGGATATTACACAGATATACCATTTTACGTACAAAACACTTGAAACAAAAAAATAAACTATATCAAGATGGACGTCAAATCGAAGATAATAAAATTCTTATTTTTTATGTTATTTGTTTAATTAAAATATTAGTTATTTTGAAATGTTATTCGGTTTGATTATCAGTTAGTTCAAAGAATGTTGAAAACCAATCTAAGCAGAACTCGATAAAACCTACGCAATCACACCGAAAAACAAACACAAATTTTGGTCGATATTCAGAAATCAGCATGTGACCATAAGATGATGAGATCATTTACCTTTCTAGGTTTAGCAAATTATACGAGAAGACGGGTTACGAAATTTCTAAATCTAAAACGACATCAATATGATCACGCAGCGGTGCCGACTGTCCTCGAGATAGCAATCACATTAAAGTTGATCGAGTTTGGATTTTTGGCTATCGTCCCCTTGATCACTTTAGCTGCATCCTACAACATTACAAAACCTCAATTAAATCAGAAGCAAAATGGCATCCACATCAACCATTCTAGTTTATGCTGGATGGACTTCCCAAACAACCATTAGGGACCGTATACGGTTTCATTTGAAATTAGATTCCATTCCAATCCTGCATTTGGTTTAAAGTGAAGTCTAGAATTGAAATCCCAGAATTGGTCATATAGGTATTCGTACTTCGATTCTTCATAACAAACTATTGCAAGACCCAACATTTGGTATCATCTTACTAAAATTTCCAAGAAAACAAGGGCATGATCTAGTGAATATTTGGGATTGCTTATAAAAACAACTTATTAACTTATTTCGGTGTGGCACCGGTAATAACACTTTTAAGTGTTTGGATAAACAACTTATACCGGTGTCAAACCGGTAATAAGGAGTTTTTTGAAGAAGTTAAACCCTTCTGACTTATAATAAGTTGATAAGTACTTTTGTAGAAAAAGCAGGAGTTGTTTCAAATAAGCAATCCCAACACCCCCCTAATAGATGATGCTATAAAGAAGTTCTTAATCTTGATAACTATGGGTATCCATGCCAGCTTGAGCCCATGAAACCTCCCACCAAACCCCAAAGGTTAAAAAGGTCCTAAATCTATTAAAATTAGAACCCATGTGAAGAAGCAGGGAATCAACACACTACATTCTACCCTACTTTTCATAATCAACCTACTGTTGGATTTATGCAAAAAAAAGCTCTTTGGGCCTCTGAAACTAAAATTGACCAGAGTAATCAAAAGTTACCTGCAATAAGGTGCTTGATGAAGAAGGGCCATGTGAAACGGGTGCAGTTTTCCTTCCATCAAGCTCATACAGTTGTCCTGTCATTTATTATCCAAAAAATAGAGCCAATTTCTTATGTTATTATAAATTATAAAGTGAGGTCATCTTCATGTAAATTTAGCAAGAGCACTTCATTAATGATTAAAGAGATGCAATGGAATTCTTAGATGTGACCTCTTCTTTGCTAACTCAATAAGCCAAGACATATATGCAATGGAAACTAGATAAGAGGATTCTATAATCAGCAATTATTTATCCGCACAAACTGGGTAAGTGCTAATCGGGAAAAGCCACCACCCACACTTATCCGATAAGATTCTCGGTAGGCCCGATGGCACAGTAAAGTAGTTGGTAAGAACCATGATCTCTAACTGAGTAAAAATAAACTGGGTATCTGGTGACTAGGTTCAGCGATCCACTGAAAATAAGTTAAATTGAGAGAGGGGGAGAGAGATACATACCATTAACACATGCAAAGCAGATAAAATGATCGTTCACATTGTCGGAAGCCTGCAGAAAGAAATGTGAGTTTAGAATAATCGTAATCATCCTTCACAAGAAACCCTCCAACACAAACTCAGATTCACAATTCTAGGTGGCACCTAGAAGACCATGTTACACGTTTTATCCATCATCATTTATCATTTTAGGTATCTCACCAACTTCATTGAACATTAATAGAGTACATTAAACCAACAAACAAAGAAAACATTTAGAATAAGTTTCTCCTCGGCAGCCTAGGTTTATCATAGAAGCGTAAGGAAGAGATTTCCTTAGAAATTTGCAACCTGTGAAATTTCGGTGTAAAGCGGTACTGTAGGTGTTGGTAATCACAGAAGGCGAAGTGGAAATCGGCCTATGTGGCCCTAGCCTACTACACACACTAGCTTTTGTTGCAATAAATCATACCAGGGGACTAGCAACTTAGAAAAGCCAGGCATGGACTTTTTTAGTGTCGAACGGCCTCTGTTTCCATCTATTTGATAAAAAAGGGCAAAATAAAAATAAAACATTGTTAACAAATAGACCTTCCAAAACCAATTCATTTCGATTGCCTTAAACTGCTCATCAAAACCACATCAGACTTTCGTACATGAACACCACCATTTGAGTCATATTGGTCAGGGGAGCAATGATTACTTAATGGAATTAATTTCTGTGTGATGGAGGGTCACAAGATTCACATTGGCCTCAATACCAACCATGATAACTACTAAATTAGGTACTTGCACTTGATTTAGTCACTTTTTAGTCTATTCAATAAAAGCATATAGCAGATACATGTACAATTATGAATAGTTAAAATTTTATACCATGATCTAAATAGAATTATCATCATCCCACTGAACAATTATTTGAAATTCCTTCTTTCAAGGCTCATAGTATTTAGTATAGACACTACTATTCTAGTGTTCTTGTATGACCACACTTCTTTGCAACAAATGCTCATTGTGATGTGTGGTCTAAGACAGTTACAACCAAAACTTTAATAGCTTGAAATTCAAAAACTGTGATATCAGCCCCATTAGCATTTAGTTGGTTTGTCTCTTGATCATAACTCATTATATATCTTAAAACATCGCATTTAATGTTGAGCTGGAGTCTGGAATTTTTGCAAACACATCAAGATAAAAGGAGATGATATCACATTATCCGAATTTTTACAGTTTTATAAATATATTTAAAGAGACACTAATGGGGCTGATAGTGTATTTAAAGAAAATTTCTTTGCAACAAGACATCGCCAACTTTACAGTAGTAATTATGTTAAGGGGCAATCTATAGTCAACTTTAGATATTTGACTCTTTATAAGCCATCCACTTACTAAAACTATAATCCAGGAACTTCAACTCACCTCGGTCTCACCAGCAGCCACTGCATCTGAATGTGCGACTTCCATTTCTCTATCATTCTCAAGGTAAAGAGCACGCTGCAGAGAAATATGAAAAGCATATAATAGGAGGAAGAATAGCAAAAACAAAGCTTAATCATCAAATTAAAACCATCGAGAACGTTAAAAGAAACATAATACCTCCATTGGATCCATGCTTGCCGTAGATTTGTAGAACCTATCCAGAAATGAGCCCTCAACTGGAAATAAGAAACACAAATATGGTAAAAACATATTGCCCAATAACTCGCTTCACAATGGAGCCACAAGCAAACAATTCCATTAGAAAGAAACCAACTACTACAGAAAGCATATACAGATTTCCCACAACAGTTTAGGATATCAAAAAAGTTTCAAATGTACATGCTGCTGAACAAACCAAAGGAGCCATGTTCATCTTGTTCATATTTCAATTTCCACTATAAATCCTTCGCTTCTTATTCCACAAGAAAAATGGAGATAAAACCCAAAAAAGTACCCAAAATACATCCTCAGACAGTAGAAACCCTCTTAGCAGTTCAATGTATTTTGACCACTTTCTCACATGGCAATGAAAACTAACCCTCCATTTTCACTAAGTTATCAATTTTGATCTGAACCTCTGTGGCAATACAAAGCAAAAGTTAACACTATTGGACGTTCTAATTGCAAAATTCAGGACAATATACAAGGACAGTAAGAACTATGAAGCAACTTTGCAACAATAGGCCAGTACACAACTCCTGGGTTATACGGCATAAGAATACAAAGTGGACCACTTCTCTTCTTAAAGTACAGAAATCCAAGGGTAATGGCATGGAGAACTGCTGTCACCCGCCAAGCATCAATCTTAGTTGGTAAAAAAAGCTATATGGCTAGCATAAACAACGTAACTAGAAATACAAAAGAATAGTGAACATGAAATAAACAAAAATTCGTGAATCACGAGCTATGCTGTTACAGAGGTTAAAATACAAAATAGCGGTCATGACTGAAATTTGAAGTAGCGGTTATTGCGGTGGTATAGCGGTCCAAAAATAGCGGTTCATATAATATTTCTTAGAATTATATATATAATCATATATGTATGCATACATAACTTCACATATTATATGCATTAATTAAAAATATAGTTTCAACATCAAAACATCAACTTAAACAAGTTTCACAAAACAAAATAGGAAAAGTGTCGATCGGGAGGAGGCTGGAGGAGTGTCGATCAGGAGGAGGCTGCGATTGTTGACTGTCAAGACTAGTGGCTGGAACGGGAGGAGGCTGCTATTGTCGACTGTCGAGACTAGTGGCTGGATCGGGAGGAGGCTGCGATTGTCGACTTGGGTCGATGATAGAAAGAACTTAAAATTTAAAACCTACGACTTCTAAACCAGATGCATTCGTTACTGTTAACTTGTTAAGTATAATGGATTAAAATTAAATCACAGCCCAAATCAAAATAAAAGGCCCAAGGCAAAAACTCAAAATAAAGCTCAAAAAACCCCAACCTAAATACCGCTATTCCGGACCGCAATTTTCCCCTAAATATCGGTGAAATAGCAGTAAATTGTGCCGCTATTATCGGAACTCCTATTTACACCGCTATTGCGCTGCAATTAACAGCATAGATCACGAGCCAGTGAAAAAAAAACTTCTTTCAAGTTAGTTAATTTCTATCTAGGCACCTTAAAGTTTGTACACATGTTACTCCACTTTGAAAGAGCTAGTGTATGGCTATGTATGTACACTAACAGAACCTTTACTTCTAGGAGCTACATGCAAGACATATTCTGCCATATACCAGCCTTGCCAGAGAAACAGTCACTTTATAGAAAAATCAGATAACTTCATGTAATTTGAACAATTTTCCAAATCAACATTGTTGTAAAATTTGTAAGAATGGGGAATGATGATGTTGTATATGTGAATAAATTTCATAACTTTTGACGTGTATGCATGCAGTGGCGGAGCCAGGATTTCGGATCAGGGGGAGCATGAGTATACAAAAATAAGATAAAATAAGAAATAAATAAATATTAATTTTTTAAAATGCCAAGCACAATGATCTATATTGATGAAACGATAAATTCAAAAATAAATGTAAGAACCCGACTATTTAATAAGAATGGAACACTGATCTTAACAGATCCAACAACAATCTTGAAAAGTTTTATTTTCTGAAACTTATCTATGGTACCAATTTGATAGAGTTGGGCTAATAGGTGCAATTGACTCTTTTCAATTTCTGTAATTGAAATCCGAGGTTTAAAAACATCATAATAATTAATAAATCTCATAAAGTAAAAAATTTCCCGTAAATTTTCATTGTTTTTCTATTTCTTAACAATATATTTATGGAATTATGTGAAAAAACATATATAATTGAGATTAAGCTGTTATTAAATGAATTAAAGATGTGTATTACTTGTAGTGAAACCAACCCTCCTTTCCTTAAAATTACATAGATGGAAAAACCCCATGAATTAACCCATCTTATGGACAAGAACCAATATAGATGATGAAAATCACCATAAGAACTGTTACACAAATTTAATATTCGTAGGGACCAAAAGTGCAAATGGAGAATAAGTTTAGAGAGTTTTGTAGTATAGATATAAAAGTTGGTCAACATCACCCCCCAACTTTCTCCTACTTCTAGCAGGGAGGTCTAAATGGAGCAGCATGCTTGAGAGAAAGGGAGCCCAGGAAAACAACTTTTGAAATGCCTACATATATCGTTTTAAAAAATTGAAATGCCCAGGGGAGCCTATGCCCTCTCAGGCTCCAACATGGCTCCACCACTGTTTGCATGACAGAGAGAAGGTCCGATAACCAACGATATTAGAAAATAAAAAAGATCTTAGACAGGAGGTCTATGTTTGCAACACCTGAAAGATTATGGTGAGAAAGAAAACAAGAATGATAGACCATAAAAACATTTAGAAAAGCGTATAATATATTTTTATTATCTTCTAATAAGTTTACTCAAGCGGCAAAGCAAACAAAAGGGTGAAAATCATACTCCCATGCTGCTGCGCATATTTAGGGAACCAGAGGGAAGATGATCAAGAAACTAAGGTTGGTGAAAGAGAAATTTTTTGAAGTTATCCTATGTGACATCCCCCCAAAAATGGTTGCATATTTGCTGGAAAATTTAATTTTAAGTAGCTCCTGGGAATTATTAAGATGTAAATGTAACCACTATGTTTACACAACAAAGTACTCTAAAAGAGTAGATCAAGCATTTTCCTTAACCTCATTGGATATAGTTAAAAAGCAGACAAATGTCGAATCATAAAATAAAATGGTCCACGTAATTTTACAGAATATGGACTACAAAGCATGAAGATTACCTGCAGTAGTGATAATCAAGGTCATAGCACAGGTCATAAAATGCATAGTTGGTTCCCATGCATGGTATTACTATATATATAGCAGGAAACTTGATATGCAAATAAAGTGACCTTGCAAACTCCTGATATTTGCCATAGACGGTCGTGATTTAATAGATTATATATCCTTCTTGTGGTAGTGTGAGCATCAGTTATCAAGCAGGAAATTTGATATGCATTTTAAGTGACCTTGTGAACTCCTGATATTTGCCACAATGGTTACATGGATAAGAACATCCAATACTAGACCACTCAAGGTTCATTCCTTTGCTGAAAATAAAAGGAGGAAAAGCAAAACAGACAAGCTAAACAAAGAGACACCATTTTGTGGGAATTCATACATAAAGAACATGATAGAACTCATGAGAACCTCAAGCTCATAAGTTAGTGAAGTGATTAATAACAAAAATACACAACCTGAGGCAAGATAAAGTGTGTGCAACAAAGTAAGCAATGGCCTACCAAGTTTTATCTCTGAGGTGATGTTGCCTATAGCATGAAGAAGTCCAATCGTTCCACATGCATTTCCCACCGTTTGTCTCATGAAGTAAACTCCATCACAAGGATCCTGCAGTCTCAAAAGCATACAACATTCTAATCATATAAAAAAAAACAAAAAAAACAGCTTAAACATGAGCACCATGATATGGTGATGAAGTGGTACGATACATCAAAAGGACATTTTAAATTTTAGCTATCTAGCTCAGATTTAGTTGCTGCTAAAATCTAAGGCATGTGTTTTCTGTCCACAAAGCCTGCCAAACACTGCCTTGTTTTCAAAAAGGACAGGCTAAGCCACCGGGAAGAAATTATTAGCAGAAGAGGATAATGAGAGAACATCCCCTAACCCCATCCCACTGCATGAGTTCCATGCAGAAGATAAAACCATAAACTGCATAACTGCAATCCATCCCTTATTTGAGATCTCTGGATTCAAAATCTGAGCAAGGGGTATTTTATGTTTAACAAAGCATCGTTTTATATGAAGGTGAGTCATCAATTACATGTGGCCTCGTCAACATTACTGACACTTAATCTCCATCTATCAAGTTGATTCAAACATACAGGTTAGAGAATCCAAAATTTAACAACAGAACATATTTCACCAATTAATGGTAGGAATAGATTCTAGCTTATAAGCAGCATATGACCTTTAACAAAGGAGGTTATGCAATTGAAGAGAGCCTTGTGCGTTTGGATCATCCTCTTTTATTAAAAGATAATTTTGCTAAAATATACTTTTCAATGGCAAATGTTGATCAGTAACCCACCTGTTTAATGCTGTTCTGCTGTAATCTTTCTTGCTCGCTCTAAAACAAGTAAAATAAAAACATTAATCAACATGTATATACTATTCAATAGAAAATGAAAGATTTCACATACAAAATGCTTCCAGCTAGAGTGTTTCACACACAACAAACATCTGTTTAGGATAACGAACCTCCGGCGTCAGGGGGTAAAGAAACAGCACGGCAAGTACCGGCTTGGGGACCATTTCCAAGAGTTCTTCGTCAAATCCATATACATCATTGCATTCTGCCTCACCCGGAGGAACACCAAGGCCCCAAAGAAACTATCCAGATACAAAAGCATAATCATACAAACAGACATGTGTTAGTCATGTGATCCATGGATCAAATAGCTAAGTTGGCAAATATAATCTCAGGCCCTTATTAACTGCAGGAAAAGATTTTCTATGAAGGTGGATAGCATACAACTCCATTGACTATGTGATTCCGTCACCAGTGACCTTAACAGCTATTTAACCTCATCCGGTGCTTTAAGTAGCAGAACAGCAATTTAAATTTGTAGATGTACCTAACCGATAACACATCTATGGATTACTTTTCAACTTCAAATATGATTACAATATTCCTATAAGTTAATTAAGTGCAACGGAAAGGTCTGGCAGGTCTAGTATATGCACACAATTGTAATATGCGATATGATCATGAACTAAAGTCACACACATTTCATGAACACACTTAAGACCACAACATCCACAAGACCATTCCCAGAGGCCAGCCGGGTTGGTTAAATGCTAAATTAAGTAATTAAAGAGCTCATATCCTTGTACCTGATTGCTTTCTTTTCCCATCCCCAGATTAATAGGACATCACCAGTTACAACTTACAATCCCCAGAATTATACCTCCCTACACCGTGATATCTTTCTTTCAAATGCAAACACAATTTGGCCTTGGCAAGTGCATGTTCCGAGTTAGTGGACGACATAGACAATTGCAAACAAGAAGAATTTTATTTATGTGATCCCCTAAGAGAGAGTTGAAAGATGTAGAAAACCACGATATATCAATTTAATTGAGTTGATGTATGTGTGTAGATAATAATAACCCAACTGAACCCTAATTTCTCTGAAGAGATGAGCAGATAGCCACAGAATTTCTCAACCCAACTCCAACAGTAACAGCAAGTAAAACGTTAAGGAAAATCATTAGAGATGGTAGTCGTCAGGAACGATTTAATTGATCCAACAGATACAGAAAGAAGGATCGATTCAGAAGATAATAGAGAGGGAGAAAGAACCTGGTTCATAACATCGGGGTTGGCTTCGAGAGGAAGCCATCTTTTAGCTGAAGAAGCTGTTTCGGCCATTGTTGATTGATTTTAGATTTGGTTCTACTTCTTTAGCAGGGTTGAAGGCAAACAGAATAATATATATACATGCGTACATCTCTTTGTGCTATATATTAGTGTTTTGAAAGGCCTCGAATCTATCCTTTTCCATGGTCCTCCAACAAATGTTGCATTCTCTTTTTAACACTTTTTCTAACAAAATTCGAATATGTTTTATATTAAATTTAGGGGTAGTTTATCAATGCTATCTGGGTAAGTGTTTAATAGGTTTAGATTACTTCGGGGCGGTTTGGTTCATGAAACTCGAAGGAATTTGATAGAATTATAATAACAATTATTTTGATCAAATTTCAATTCATTTGTTTGGTTCGTTTCTTAAAATAGATGGAATCCTTCGAATTCCATTGAATTCCACAAATTAATGAATTCATTATTTCTTGACATAATGGAAGGAATTGAATTTCATCACCACCCACCATGAACATGCTACTATTGTTCGTCATGTCCCACCCTTAAACCCCCACCACTACTGTTGCCGCCACCTACCCTCACCCACCCACCAGACCCCACGACTAACCACCATGTCACTACTGTTGTCATCACACTCACCCACTCACAGTCACTCACTGCATATCCCTATTACGACCATGCTACTACCGTTACTGTCACGCCCCTGACCTAACCCCCACCACCACACCATGTCACTATTGTCGTCGTCATACCCACCCACTCCCTGCCACCACCTTCCCACCACTGTCGTCGTCACAGCTGCCACCTATCCCCACCGCCCTGCCCCGCCCCGCCACCCTTCCCCCTCGCTCACCCCGCCCCTAACCTAACCCCCCACCCCCACACCACTATTGTCGCCTTTATAACTGTTAATCACCTGCACACCACCCTACCCCAACCCACCACTAAACACCATATCACTATTGTTGTCGTCATACCCACCCACTCCCAGGCCCTAGCCACCGACCACTATCCCACCACTATCATCGTCACAGCTACCACCTACCTCCAAATATAAAGATCAAGATTGTGACCTCCAGATTTTTTTAGTGTTTTAGTGGTGGATTGGAGATGCCCTAAGAAATTTGAACTTGGGTAAGGCATTGCATTCTTTCTTTACTGATAACATGTCAAGTGATACAAAAATTAAGGTGGTGTTTGTCATTGGATTTCGAAGGAATTAAATTGACCAAATTTCATTTATTTGTTTGGTTCTTTGTTTGAGTTTTGACAAGGAATTTGAAGTCTACATATGGTGTAATGTAAATTTCTTGGGTTCTAATAAGGAATTTCAAATGCTTTGTCCCGTCTTTAAAGAAAAAAACTATTATATTCTTTTATTTACTCAATTTCATTGCATCTCACCACCACCACCATCGTTGTTGTCGTCAACCACTACTGATGTTACCACTATCGCCTTTACACCCACCGTTGTTATTACTATCGCCTTCACCCCCACCACCATCGACGTTGTCGTCACCACCGCCGCCGCCACCACCGTCATCGTTGCCACCGCCCTCATTGTTTCCACCATCGCCACCACAACTATTACCACTACCATCACCATCACCATCACTACCATTCACACAACTACTACCTCCACTCCATCACCACTATTATATTCAACGAATCAGAAAAAACATATTATGAAGGGATGTTTCTGTAATTTATCACTATTATAATAATTCTAAAGTTATATTTAGCGAACCAAACAAACAAACAAATTCTAATTCTTTTGCCATATTTCATTTCAATTCATGTCAATAAAACACATGGTCAAACCTAATTTAAGTTTCATTCCATCTTCTTCTAAAATAAAAACGCTCTTTGACATAAATTCGATTGTAACTCTTAAAAAGAAACTCAATAACATGTAAGATGATTTAGATGAGAAAGAACTTCGGCTTGGAGATTTATATTTGTGTACCACGAATCCAGGTTGAGGAAGGCAACGGGAAGGGATGTGGAAGCTAAACTGTGTTTTGATTAGTGATTTGGCCAAGGAAGGAAAGGATGATCTGATCGAGTAATTTTAGTGTTTATTTTACATTTATTTGAATAATGATGACACGGAATTTTACGATGTGGTTGTTTTAATATCCAAATAAGATTTAGGGGTTCTTCGGTTGCGGCTTAATGGGTTGTATAAGCCATATGCTTATTTGCTTAGTCATATCTAACTGTTCGGTATGGGCTTATTCGGTCAGTCCATGGCTGAATCGCTCAGCTACAAAAGTAGAGTCATATACACTCAGTCATTTATTGATCCATTTATTCCCCTTATTTCGTCTTCTTCTCCCATTATATGAAATCAACCAGCCATTTGTTAAAATATTTCACCATTTTTCTCCTCTGCGCCTTCTCCTTCCTTCTTCTAGATATTAGAGACCTCTCATGCTTCAAAGTTCAAACCATCATCGGGTCTAAAGAAAGTTGTTCGCCGGCATATTCCTCAACCTCCGACCGACATTTCCCCCCTTTTCAATGCGGAAAAAACCATAGTTTCAATCGTATTTTCAAAACAGAATTAGAGAGTTTTTCATTTTTATTGATTTTAATGGCGAAGGATATGAGACTGTTGGAGATGAAAAAGCGTTTGAATTGTTGGCGAAAACATGGAGGAAAATGAATTGATTTTGGAGTTGTCGATTGGTGGAATTTTTGGGAAATCGAATCGTAATGGGCGTGAATCGGTGGAAAAGGAGGTTCCAGCGGTTGGAGATGAAGAAACTGAAATATTTTTTATTTATGAAAAAAAAACAAATAACAAGGGGTAAAATGGTCATATATATCATTCAAAATGTTTATTCAGCATTGCAACCAAACAACAACTAATCTGTTATCATACAAACATCTTTATCAATACAGACAACTTTATCCATGTAGGTCTTAGTAAAAAATGAACCAAACAACCCTTTAGCTAACATTTATTGTCAAATCATTTTAAAGTAACCAGTTACCTGTTCAACACGTAAACCAAACACCTAAATATATGAAAAGATTGTTTCAAACCCTATAATTAAGATTTTAAAAGTTGGTACGCCAAAATAGGAGTCATGTCAAAGTTTTTTTCCAATTTGATGTACTTTTCCTTAAACCAAAGGGTCTTTGGCCTAATGGTATTTGGGTTCCGGTAGAGCCCAACCTCCTAGGAGGTCAAATGTTCAAATATCACGAAAGGTAAAAATGGGTGTGTAAACATCATCAATAACTTTGCAATAAATATCTCCAAGTTAATGACTATATATAAAAATGTCAACAACGGAACACTTTAAAACAATAAATATGCAACTTAAGAGCTAACATGTCCCATACCAGCTTAAGTTGCAACTGATCTATACATAAAAGTCTAAATAAAAGACTGAATTTAAAATAATAATAATAATAAGCAAGTCTCTAAGCGTGTCCGTTGCCCTCATCCAACTTCAAATTACCTAGCTCTAAGATGCATATTATAGTCAGCTTAAGCTTATGTAGTTCATGTTTGCGTGAACAAAATCATATCTTGACATACACATCATACATGTATACTTCATGATAAAAAGTAAGCTTTATCTAAAAACGTGTAACGTTGGAAGAAAAGAGATCTATAAACTGCCTGGTCGGGTATGAGTCATTTTCGCACTGAGATTTTCTAGGTTGTCCGACCTGCATATGTCTGGAACCCATTACTGGGTCATGCCACTTGTCGTATGACTTATTAGTGAAATTGTAACACCCAGATTCTCGTTAAAATTTTAAGTGTGTATTTCATCTACATTTTCATCCTCAAATTGTTTAAAATTGAGTCTTTTTGAGTATTTATCGATGGGGGTTGTTGGTGCTTCAAAACTCAAGAAAATGCATGTTTGGGAAAGGAAAGAATGGGCTGTGTGGGTACTATGCAGCTAAACGTAATTATCTTTATAAAAACGAAATGTATAAATATTAGTTGAATGAGCTATTCGGTTTAACTAAATTACAAAAGAAAAAATAACCGGGAACCAAACCGAATAGGGATCCTTACTTATTCGATTAACCAAACCTTTCTAACCAGAAATCTTTTCCAACATCTCATTTAATTCGAGTATGTTATTTGGCTTCAATAATTCTTGACACCCCTACTTGTGTTAAACTTTCCAATTGTTGATCGGCTTTATTCCTAGAAGCAATATGCAATCTACTGCTCACATTTTGACTGAACTAGAGTAAAATAAATAAACGAGTCTTTTAAGCTCGAAGGGATAGGCTAGCCTCTAGAACGTCCTCACCGCACCAATTCCTCGACCATCAGGGGAAAGAAAAATGACAGTGAGTATGCAGTAGATGGTGGTGTGTGGGTTTGAACCTATGACTTCACCCTTTCCTAATGCCCACCATTCGACCAAACATGTGTGGACACCTGATCCGGCCATAACTCTCATCCTTCCATTTATACTGTCTTTTTTTTTTTTTTAATTTCAGTTGACAAATATTTTTAAGTTTATAAGACTAACAGGCATCACATACAAGGATGTTACAATAAGTTATTAGGACAAAAGTTAAACAACCTAACAAATTTTATCTTTATAAAACAACTAGAATGGTACTCGTGCAATGCAGCGATATATATCTCGATTTTAATGTTTCATATTATTCTGTCTTTGTAGATGTTATAGTACGGTTTATGTGTTTTTAAGAAAAAGATGATGTTTTTATTTTTGAATAAAATATATATTTGAATGGTTATTTTGATCAATATAACTGAATTTTATTCAACAAATAAATCTAATTTTGATTTTTTTTTTATGATCAATATATTAAATTTTGAGAAAAAAGTAAAATGGGTGTAAAAAAAAACTTATTTTATATAATACAAAAGCCACTCAAATATTTTATGAGGATAATATAAATCTTATTAACTACTTTAATTATATGGTTGTTGTTAGTGTTGTATTATTATTATTAATTTATGAGCATCACAACTCACAAGATTCTTAGTGATATAATTAAAGAAGTGAATATATATATATATATATATATATATATATATATATGTGTGTGTATGTATGTATGTATATAAAAGTGGGTTACTATACAACTCTTTACATTTGTATAACT